GCTGCTGCAGAGGGGAGAGCTGTGGCTGCAATCAAGCTTTGAGTTCATACCTCAGCACCCAGGCTTCTCTCCCTTGGAAGCCCAGCTAGTGGATGGTGTAGCTAATGGGTGCTGGGGAGAGAGAAAGTTGTGTAGAAACTCCACAGCTCAGCTTAAGTATTTTAAAAGTCACCAGGGCTATTATGATCATGTAGTCAGATTTTTCTACAGAGGCTAACCTCCACTGAGCCTGGTAGCAACCAGAACAAAGAGCTGTGTGGGGCTACTAATTGCAGAACAACAAGAGTTCATTAAGTAATAAAACACTTTCAAAATGAAGCAAGGAGTCGAAGTAAGGAGCATTTCATTCTTATGCATGATGGGGTTAGTATTTTGCCTTCAGTGCTGTTAAATCATTAAAATAGCAAGACTGCGAATTTACTGCTTGCTGGGCTAATAATATGTTAAGTTTTATTATCTACAGCCTGTATGCTGCTTTCTAATTACAAGTCTGATACAATAAAAGTGCGATCTCTGCTTATTCTCTCGTGTTTCCTTTATTCTCCACCCTCCCCTCCCTGAACACACCTTACTGCCCTGCAGCGATCAACTGAACAGACTCACTCTGCTGTGAAGAACACGACATGCAGCCCAGCTACTGTTTCAGTATGTGTTCTCAATGCCCAGAAGCACATTTACATGTGAGCAGCTGGAATAAGGCACTCTGGCTTTTCCAGCGGTGGGAACAGGAGGCTGTTGTTGGGCTGCAGGGAGCACTGGCAACTCAGATTTAACTTCATGCCAGTGCCTTGGTACAATAAGGAGCGTTCAGACATTAGGGTCCTATGACACAAAGGCATTGGGCTGGGTCTAGTTCACAGGCTGCCAGTTTAAACTATTTTCCTGGAGAGAAAGTGCATCTGAAGGCAGTTTCCCAGTTACCAGTGTCTGGTTCTGCAAGGCTGTTGCAGGAGGTGGTTGCGTGTGCGAATGCTGCGCTCTAGTGGTTTGCACAGCTTGGAGGAAATGCCCACGTTTGGAGGACATGGCCATGTCTTGGTGAGGCTGGAGGACAAGTCCATGCCTTGAAGAGACCGGAGGAAACAGCCATGCCTTGGCAAGGCTGGAGGAAATGTCGCTGTCTGGGTGAGGCTGGAGGACACGGCCATGCCTTCGTAAGGCTGGAGGAAATGGCCATTCCTTGGTGAGACTGGAAGAAATGGCCATCCCAGACCCACACAGGTACTTCTTCAAGGTGGATCTATTTTTCAAGGGAGGACTCTTTTCCTTGGCTTTGCTGTCTTAGCCTATCACATGTAGTGTCCTTCACTATGTGCTAGTTTTAAAGCTTAACAACTCCCCACTGTAACTCCCTCCTGCTTTACAGCTCCTTGCCTAGTTTATCGGTATTTTTTGTTACTGTTAATGGAGAAAGGCTAATTTTACACCACTTCAGGTTTCAACTCAATATCCCAGATCACATCTAGCCAATTTACCTTGTTTCTTCTATCTTCTTTTTTGACTGGCTTGTTCTTCTGCCAAATTTCTATATTTGGAGTCGGCAGGGAGCTTTGCAT